GAGTACACGTTAAACGCGTGAGACGAGCGCGTCACGAAAGTCGACGAAGAAAGAAAGGGGGGGAGGGGAAGAGGAAATAAAGAGAGAAAAGGGTAGACTCGCGTTCTTTGTGTCGAAACTGTTCGAGTATCAGTTTTTCCAAAGAATGTAGGCCGCCCGCGGAGCGAAGTAATGGCAGCGGTGGAAAAAGCACTTACACGCCGTGCTTTTCGGAGTTGGTTCAGAGGGGGAGGGAAAAAAAATAAAGAGACAGCGACGGGGGTGAGACGTGGGAGGAAGCTGGAAATCCTTTCACGGGAGCCGCCGCGAGGTAACGCGGCTCTTTCCAGAAACGTTAATACCGTCGTTCTTCTGTTTGTCTCCTCATGATCGTTCACTGGCAATGAAACTTGACTTTCAATGCGTCCCACGATGATCATCAAACTTACGAATTTAAACGTAATTCTTCGTCGTATAGACGACATTACCAAGTGGCAGATTTTCGTACTTTTGCCGGAGAGAAAAATGTGTTAAACAAAAGATGTAGGGTTTTAGAGACTGAGGACAGTCAACGTCGGCCTCGGACCTGGGTCATGGTTCTTCAGATATATCACGGTTAGCTCAGTTTTCCTAAATTGGAACCCGTCACCTACTTCTGGCCCTTATCGATTTTTCGATTCATCACACATAATTTTACAAAAGACTCGCACAGAGTGTCTCAAAAGTCCATGAATAGCACGTATTTTAATCGATTAACAAATCACTAAATTCGCATAAGAGATTCGCATAATTTCCGTGGACGTTGAGATAAAACTTACGTGGTGACTCTCGGCGGATCCTCCATATCGATGTCGTTCTCGTCGCTGGTAGCCTCGGTGACGGAGCTCGTCTGCGAGGTGAACAGGCTTCCCCTGCCAATCGGAAATACGCTACTCACACTAACAAACTCGACGACTAGTTCCGCGTGACGGTTCGAAGCCGCTTCAGAGAAAGTGCCCTTCAGCCGACTGACAGTTCCCGCTGTGCCAAACTTTACCCCCGCCACCCGTTATTTTCTAAACATCTCGTCCGCCCACGCATGTTTTAACGGGGCCTGACGTCGAAATCGATATCTCTCCTCTATACATAAATCCAAATAATTATACATGCCATTTTTTACAAGCATTTATAAACAATTTTTACATAATTTCACGTCATTCGACTTCCGGGCATTTCTCTGAAGCGTAATTAGATATTATCTTCAATGCAGACACTTAGGCAGCTATCACAATAATATTTCTAATTACCACTTGAATCTACTCGTTGTTACAAAAGCAGAAATAATAAGACACTCGCGAGAGATTGATCGGAGTGAAACATCTGCTCGGGCAAGTATGCTGTTCAAAGTTGAATTTAAATTACGTACAGATGGGCTCGCGGTATCTGGTTATTCGGCCGTTCAATTCCTATTATCGGAGCATGGAAATAATTGGGGGAGCAGAGGGTTTGGTAAACTTCCATTTTCTCTACCCGCGGCACGGCTCATTATCCGAAGTATCTCGTTCGAATTCTTCGAGTTCCATTGTAAATCGAGTTTGTCCGGTTTCATTTGGAATTCGAGTATAAATTAAATTTTTTACCCCCCCCCCTCCCTCGGTCACGTCCCTCGCGCAGGTATGCTCGAATATTTGTTTAAAAACAGACCGGATGTAAGGATCGTTTTAAAACCGAGCGTTGAAAGCATACGTTTTATTACTTATGCGATCTGATAAGAGCAATAAATCAAACGGCCAATGAATATTCAGCTGCGACTGCTGTCTATTTTTACGCCCCTTTAACCCGTCACGGTCACGCCTCCAAATAATTACGGAAAGGTCAGAGGCCAAGCAATCGTTTACGTAAAGATATGCAGCGAAGTTCGAGTTTTCCATTCACGAATCACTCCAAGTCTCTACATGTTTAAAGAACAGAACGAGAATCCGACGACCGTTCCTTACATTTTAATCATTCATTTATTTATTATTTAAGTATCGAATGAATTAATATTTATATAGGAACGTGTATGTATTTACAACGTGGAATTAATCGTGAGGTAATAATGGAACGATTTTTGTCACACGGGGAGGTCGCTGTCCCTCAGACGTGCCAAAATTCTTTGATCCACGTGGCATGCATACGTGCAACAATTGAATATTCCTAAATGCAAGGAGCAGACCTATTCGTTACGCGATACAAACGGAAGATGTAATCTCCCGTCGACGATCCGACGAATGAAGACGCGAGGGACGACTATTTTACGACAGCTACGAACGAAACCGAAGAATCGATAGAACCGCGGGACTCACCGGTTGTCGCGCCTGACGCGATTAGGCGTGCCCGCTTTCGGTTCCTCCATGTAGAAGATAATGTCACCCTGGTTGTCCATCCGCTGGTTCTCGTTCTGGCCTCCGGCATCGCCGCCGCTGGATATGCCACCGGATATCGTCACCGGCGGCTGCGACTGCTGCTGCTGCTGCTGCTGTTGGACGTCCATCCGGTTCCGCGACTTCCGCCTCTTCAGTACGCTCGCCTTCTTTGCCACCTGGATCATCAGAGACTGAACCCCCGGTGCCCTCCCATTACAACACACGTCGAACACAACATGCACTATCCCTACTAGCGAGCACCGTGGCGGCTCGGAGTACCGAGAACCATCATCGCTCCATCTGAAAAGCCTCCCCTAGTATCATGGCTGACCACCGATGACGCGACGTCCCCCGAATTCGGTCGAGAATCTACGCTCGCCTTCGCGAATTCACGCATTTTTTTTTTAGAAATTATGTATTTAATCGATCCTCCTTTCTTATGTCAAAAATCTGATTTAAATTAGTTCTAAATATTCTCCATTCATCTGGAGAATATTTTCAAATTAATTCTGATTATGATATGAATAATTAATTTTGAAATGAAATGAAATGAAATAAAAAGAAAATGGAAGAATAGATTGTTTAGATATTAAAAAATATGCACTTCTTCTAGCTTGTCTTTTAATTCGATTTTTAAAAAGAATATATTTAAAAATGCATTAACATGTAAACATGAGAAAGTCATAATATAAATATTAATTAGAATGACTATCATTACAACGAATAGAGTCTGTGGAAAATTTATGCAACTGCAAGCCTTGAAAGAACCACTCTAACCGTTACCTGTAATCACTTGATTATCTTTAATAATAAATGTACATACTGTATCGGCTAATCCGATTCTAACGGCCCATTCAATTTCAGTTTCAATCAGATTCTATGGCTCGTGCGATTCTATCCGAAGTTCAGCAGAAATCATTAGTACACGACGATGACAGCGCATTGATAGCGTATCAGACTCTTGATGAAATTTCAATACCGGCTATATTGCGGGAACGCTCTGTTCCAAAACGATCTGACACGTGCCTCTAGACACGATTTTCAAAATTAAACAAATTCCGAAGATATTTATAAATCATCTTAAAAAGAGACATCAATTAACTGAATACCAAGAATGAATCTCACGTTGTTTCATGATTTTATAAAAAGACACAGAAATTCATTTATAAACTAATACTAAATCGGGTTAAATAAAACTGATAAATCGACATTAACTTGAACTACCTCGCTCGGAACCAGTAGTCGTTATTTATAGAACATCCGACATAAGTACCACCGAAAATTTCGAGAGCGAACAGCGAGGGAGCCCGCATAATCATCAGAATTTAATTATCAAAAAGCCAGGATCTCGTTTGAATTATCTATGGTCCCACGAAATTTGATTGCACCATCTGGCAACTTGGCTCGAGTATAAAAAGGTCTTGGAAAAACGTGGAATTGTTTACCGTACGGTATAATAAAACAAGATAGCCGGGCCATGATGATGAATCTGTTTCCTCTACCTGGTCCCCCGGTTCTCTCTCTCCCCCCCCTTCCACCCCCCCCGATTCCTGTTTGAGTTTATCGAATTTCTTCCGGACATACGGAGCTGAACCACCCCCGGGCCAGGAGCCGGCAACCTCGGCTCCCGGCGAGGGTTACGACGAAAAACGAAATGAGTTTACGCGCGCGAATAACGAAACTGGGTCACAGCGACGGTTTTCAAACGTACGTTCGGAGATTGGCCAACGTAAACACCGCATTAACGTGCAGCAGCTAGACGTTTAAAAGAGGCTTTCAAAGACCCTCTATCGGGCTAAATAAAATGAGAATTCTCCGTTCTGATTGGCCGCTGTCATGAATTTTTCTTCATATTAGGACCAGTTAAAAATACATGCGATTTACTCCTAATGAGAAATTTTTTAAAATGCAAAATATTTTCAATGAAGGAGAATTATTCTTTTATCGATATTAATATAAATAATTCTAATTG